GGCGTGGAGTGCAGAGGGTCCCCTGTCCCTTCCTCAGCCAGACATGGTCTCCAGTGTCTCTAAAGCCTTTGAGCCATGCCAGCTCCAGTTCATGAGGTCTTTTCTTGTGGAGAAGAAGGGAGTCTTTTCATTTCTTATGGGTAAGTTAATGAATAGGTTTAACAATCAACTAGAAATCCTCTAAGCCTCTTCTCCCCTTCTGCCAAAGAAAGGGAGATGGAAAGAAAGAAAAGTATTTAATATGTAAGAGTTTGGAAGTTAGACCTGGATTCGAATCTTGACAGGTCTGTCTCCAAGTTGTATGTCCTTGGACAAATCACATCAAATATTTGCTTATCAGTGCTATTAATACTTTCTATAAAGTGAGGACGTCCCTGTCCTACTAAAGGTAAACATTGCTGGATACCTAGTAGGTACTAAACATGTATAAGCCCCTTCTCGACTTTTCAGGAAGGAGCCAGGGGATACCATTCCCCTAGATGCGTTTGTAGATACCGAACTTTGATTTTCACAAATGCTGTTATTTTTCAAGGATAGTCTTTGCTTTAGTGTCAGCAACGAGCAGTTACAAGACAACATTGCATAATTTACACATTTCTAAATGCTCCCTTGGGGGTAAACAGGAAGAAATTAGTTGTAGAACAAAATCCCAGATGTCAGGAAGGAGAGGCACACTTCCTTGGAAGAGGTACTTAGGCTGAAATTCACAATCAGGTTTAAAACCTGCTTAGACTTTTCTGAATCTCTCTGTGCTGCAGTTGTAGATAGGGATGATTAAAATACAACTTTGTGCACATAAAACTGCCTTTCAATATTCAATATCCTTCCTGTGTAGAGAGATACTTTAGAATTAACAATCGTGGCCAGGCACAGTGGCTGAAGCCTGTAATCCCAGCACTTTGGGAGACCAAGGTGGGAGGATTGCTTGAGGCAAGGAGTTTGAGACCAACCATGGCAATATAGTGAGACCTTGTCTGTATTAGAAATCACAAAAATTAGCTGGTGGTGGTGGCATGTGCCTGTAGTCCCAGCTACTTAGGAGGCCAGGGTGGGAAGATCGCTTGAGCTCTGTAAGCTGAGGCTGCAGGGAGCCAAGATGACGCTACTGTACTCCAGCTCAGGCGACAGAGCAAGACCCTGTCTCAAAGAAAACAAAAAAAACAAGAAGTAAGATCTCCAGGATTTTACTGGACAGAAAAATGTTGACGTAATTGATTCTTGGAACGTATACTTTGCACACAAACATGTGGGCAGAATGGCCGTGGCAGGTAATCAAGACTGGATGTGAAGCCAGCCTGTTGCTGTTTTATCTCTCCAGGCCTATCTCCCACCCCACCCCCCACAACCTGCATCACCCTGCTGGCTCAGAGCTACTGTCACCCTCCTGGAAACTATTTGTGTACCAAGAGGCATAGACATGCTCTCATCCTTTGACCCAGTAATTTTACTCTTGGAAGTTTATTGACAGGCTGAGCTTGGTGGCTCACGCCTGTAATCCCAACGCTTTGGGAGGCCAAGGTGGGAGGATCAGCTGAGGCAACAAGTTCAAGACCAGACTGACCAACATAGCAAGACCTTGTCTCCATTTAATTCTTTTTTTTTTTTTTTTTTTTAAAGGAAGTTTACTTTTAAACAGCATGGGAGAAACTTCAGAATCATGGTGCATCCTCAGAGTCAAATAGCCTATAGCCGAAAGCATGATTCTGAAGGTTCTATAGAAAAATGGGCAGGCCTTGCTATGAGGGGGAAAGGAGTGGTTTTGTCAGTCACATACAACAACGAAAGGCATCTGGATAGGCCAGTGCCTAAAAAACTAGAACCTGGGGTAAAATGGAAGCACTTGTGTTGGTTGGGGCAGGGAGAATGGGTTGGTTTGTTTTCCCCTATGCTCCATTGTCTTTTCAATTAAACTGTAAAAAACTGAAAAGAAAAGTAGACTGCTCTAGCTTGAAGAGCACTTGAGCACTATTGAGAGCAATCGGCTGTGGAGTGGATTGCAGGCCTCTGTGTACTGCAGTCAGTGGAGAGGATTATTTCCCCTCCACGTGTGTTTCCAGGAGGTTCAGAGCAGTGGTGTGCAACATGACACTCCAGTCAAGGCCACCAGTCATGTTCTTCATGTTCCCAGAGGCCCGGGGTCTATCCCACCAGGACTGACGGGACATCACCTGGTTTTCTCCACACAGTGAAGCCACACCCCATGGCTCTGGTAAACACCCTGGAGTGGTCCATGCCTTTACCTTCCTCCCACCTCTGAGGCCTGGGGGCCTACTGCCAGGATGCTTATTCATCGTCCCTCCTCTCTCCTCCATCTCAAGTCCGACCCTGGCCATCTTCCTCTTGGTCCTGCCCCTTCCACACTGATAAACAGATGACTCCACTGTCACTTCACATCCTTCAGTGGTTTTCCATCCTTAGAATAGACGCCAACACTCCTTATTGTCATGATCTACACACATGCTACAGGCCTTGGGCCCTTCTTTCCTTTCTCAGCCCAACTTGAACCTTCTCCCTCATTCTTGTGTGAGAACCTTCTCCCTGATCCAGTTCTTGTGACAGTAGGACTTCTTCAGGCCTCTCCTGACCACCCATTGTATAGAGCCCATCCATGCCCTCCTGCTGTCACACTGCATTCAGCCTTCCATGTCATGGCATACTTAGGAAACAGTGGCATCCACAGGGTACAGTGGGTAAATTGGAGGCAATACTAGGGGAAAGTGCAAGTGCTGTTTCTTCCATAGAAGTTATAACAAAAAACTGGGCACGGTGGTTCATGCCTGTAATCCCAGCACTTTGGGAGGCCGAGGTGGGTGAATTATCTGAGGTCACGAGTTCGAGACCAGCCTGATCAACATGGAGAAACCCTGTCTCTACTAAAAATACAAAATTAGCCAGGCGTGTGGCACATGCCTGTAATCCCAGCTACTCGGGAGGCTGAGGCAGGACAATCACTTGAACCTGGGAGGCAGAGTTTGCGGTGAGCTGAGATTGCACCATTGCACTCCAGCCTGGGCAACAAGAGCAAAACTCCGTCTCAAAAAGAAAAAAAAAAAAAAAAGAAAAGAAATTTAAAGGAAAATAAAATACAGGGTGTTAGGGAACATAGTCAATACTGAACTTGTGTTGAATAACATTTTTATCATTATTATTTTTAGAGACAAGGTCTCGCTTATTATTGTTACTATTTTTTAGAGATAGGATCTTGCTCTAAAATCTCTAGTTGCCCAGGCTGGAGTGCAGTAGCGCAATTATAGCTCACTGCAGCCTTGAGCTACTGGGCTCAAGGGATCCTCCTGCCTCACGCTCCCAAGTAGCTGCACTACAGGTGCAAGCCACCATGCCTCACTAGTTTTTGTAATTTTTTTGTAGAGATGGTCTTGCCGTGTTGCCCAGGCTGGTCTTGAACTTCTGGCCTCAAGTGATCCTTCCACCTTGACCTCCCAAAGGGTTGGGATCACATGTGTGAGCAACTGCATCCGGCTTGAATAACATTACTGAAATAACGTTGCCTTTTTCTTTTTCTTTTTTTTTTTTTTAAAGAGGACTTCTGCTCAAGAATATCACTTTTATGTGTTAGGGTGTGGATTTTGTTTTGTTTTTGTTTCTGTTTTGCTTGACTTTGATAATTGTTGTGGAGAAATTTTGTTTGCACAAGAAGGTAGTAAAACTTAGAAGCATTTTTTTAGTAAACATTCAAAAATTTATGAGTTGGCATTTCTAAAGAGTCTAGATTCTTTACTCTTTTCATTTATATGTAATGTTGAAATACAGTAATGCAAATGGACCTCAGTTTCATTCAGACTCTATTTTAAGCACTTCAAAATAATGAAGCTCTAATTTACGTAAGGCATCTACTAAGGTATAGACAGTAGTATGCTGGTAAAAGTTTGACAATCAGCTCTCAGAAAAAAGAAAAGAGTATCCATATACATACATGTATATGCCTGTAAATTTGAGTTTTACTGATATAAAGGATGGGTGGCATATAATTTGCAAATAATGAAATATACAAAACTGTTGTCAGTTCCACATAGCCAGTTGCTTCTCACCAACTGCTTCCATTGATTTTTGCTAAGCTTTTGTATCGACATGATTGGTTTTGACATGACTTTGGTTGATATCTTTATTTGGTTGGTTTTGTTTTTTGTTTTGTTTTGTTTTTATGAGACAGAGTCTCACTCTGTCACCCAGTCTGGAGTGCGATGGTGCAACCTCCACTTCCTGAGTTCAAGTGATTCTTGTGCCTCAGCCTCCCAAGCAGCTGCGACTACAGTTGTGCACCACCACACCCAGCTAATTTTTTGTATTTTTAGTAGAGACAGGGTTTCACCATTTTGGCCAGGCTGGTCTTGAACTCCTGGCCTCCAGTGATCCACCTGTCTTGGCCTCCCAAAGTGCTGGGATCACAGACATGAGTCACTGCACACAGCTTTGTTTGATATCTTTATTTGTATTAATGAGTCAAGTGATGTCTTTGCCGAATCGGATAATGGTTTTCAGATATCTATACTATAAGAATATTTTCTCAGTTGTTTTTGCTATTCCCAATGTCATGTCTTCAGGCACGACACAGTTTTTAAGTTTAATTGCATTATTAACATTTTCTCCATCACTTTTTTTTTTTTTTCTTCCTAGTTTAATAAGGATTTGTTTATTTTGAGGAAAAAAGGTCCCAAACATCAGGCGGTTCACAAAAATAACCCACAGTATCAACTTTAGAAAACAAATCTTAAGACTATAACGCTAATTATTTTCCTAGAGGATGCATTTGACATGCCAACTCTCATTCACAGAAATACACGTTAAATTTGTGTTGAACTGCCCCACATAGCACACTAATGTTGGGGTGTAACACACACACTTCTAACTCAAAGCTGCTTTCATGAGCTACTCAACTAAATGAGATTGCCTTTGCAGTTAGGGAAGCAACTACTGAACTTACATATGAATGAAAAGAACTGTACTCCCTGCATAACGAGATTATTTTGGTGACAGTTGACAAAAACCATACATCCTTTTTATTGTTAAGTCATAAAGAGGTATCAAAATTAAAAGCAAAAATTACAGGGTAAGACTTAACAAAACTACTAGGAATGTCAAAGGAAGTGAAAATGGGACGAGGTGCAGGGAAATATGAATTAATTAACATGGGAAGGACAAGGATGGGGAGGACAGTGAGCATGTGCTGAAGATACTAGGGGAGAGGATCTGGTGAAAAATTTGACCTTAGACAAGCGCCTAGGTAAAGAAGTAATGGGATAAGATTTCTAAACCCCACTATGTACTTAAGAGTCATCCTCTCCTTCCTCAGTGTCTTTTTCATCATCCTTGATCAACTCCAGCTGGTCATCCCCCATCTTCATTATCATCATCATCCAGTAGGTCCCTCTCCTCAGCAAAGTCATCTGCACCCCTCTCAGACTCCATCTTCACATTAGTCTCATCTTTCTTCACGGAGCTGCTGCTCTGCTCCTCTTCTCACTTATCATTCTTCGTCTCTACTGCTTGTTTGCTCTATTGCTTTTCAGTTTTTTCCAGGTTTTCCAGAAGAGAATCCACTTTTTGTTTTATCTGGGTCAGCTCCTTCTTAATGGCCTGAAGGTCATCTCCTTTCAACTTTCCAGACTTGGAAGATCCCGCTGTCCACTCTTTGAATTGAAGCCACTTTTGCCCCTTCGTGGGGTGTTTCCTGATACATGCTGACGTTTCAAGGGCACGACAGCCCAAGCAATAGGAGGAGGAGGTACACGTGCTGGGTAATGTACATCCTATCATAATAATCCCATTGAAAGTCATAGTCCAAGTCAAAAGAGGAGCCGTACATCTCTGCTGCAGAGGGTTTCACACCTGCTTTTCCTTGGTTCACTTTTGGATCTGCAGCCGGGTTAATATCTAAAACCTGGCCAGAAATCATTCTGCCATCCTCTCCTGCTACGGCAGCCCGGGCATTTCTCTTGTTAACATATTGAATGAAGGCAAAGCCCTTATGAACGGAGCAGCCCACAATTTTGCCATACTTTGAAAAGATTGCCTCCACATCAGATTTCTTGACCCCAAGAGTGTTGAGATTCCCAATGAACACACAAGAGTTCATGGAGCGAGTATCTGTCTTCTTGGTAACGTTGCTGACCATTGTGTTTGATGATAAGTTTTCTCACAAAGCCGAAAATGTAGCTGAAGATCAAAATAAACCTCACTGTACATTTGCCACGTAGGGCACACCAAGTTGCATCATTATGTTTAAAATGTCTTTATAAAATCAATTTTGGAATGGGACTGTGTGTGTTCTGGAAGGGTGGGGAAGGGAGGTTAAAAATCAAAGCTGAGCTCCAGTGAGTAGGGATGGGGTTCACCTTGCTGTCCAGGAGGGAGGAGGGAGAAGAGATTTGATTCTGAGTCTCCTACTCCCAGGTTATATGTGGAGAAGCTGACTGCTGCCCGAAGTCAGCAACCTCTCCATCACTTTCTTAAGTTTGAACCCCAGGAGTTGACAAACTTTTGTAAAGGGCCAGATAGTAAATATTTCTAGCTTTGCAGGCCATGTGGCCATAGAGTCTCTGTTGTACTGCTGCCTTTGTAGCACACAAGCAGCCATAGACAGTATGTGAGTGAATGAGCATGACCGTGTTCCAGTAAAACTTGATGTGGTCGGCCAGGCACAGTGGCTCATGCCTGTAATCCCAGCACTTTGGGGAGGCCAAGGTGGGCGGATCACGAGGTCAGGAGATCAAAACCATTGTGGCCAACATGGTGAAACCCCGTCTCTACTAAAAATACAAAAAAGTTAGCTGGGTGTGGTGGCACACACCTGTCATCCCAGCTATTCAGGAGGCTGAGGCAGGAGAATTGCTTGAACTCAGGAGGTGGAGATTGCAGTGAGCCGAGATCGCGCCACTGAACTACACAGCCTGGGTAACAGTGAGAGACTCCATCTAAAAAAAAAAAAAAAAAAAAACCTTGATGTGGTTAATTTATGTCAATGTGAATTTTCCCTCAATGAACGACATGTCAAATGAAAAAAGTAAAACTTTTATCTACAAAAACAGACTATGTTATGGAATGACCCAGGCGTTCGCATGTTTCTAGTTTGGAGCCCATAAAATCAAGCCCTGATTTATAGTGTTTGCCAGTTTCCATGGTGTAAGTACTCGTACCATGGCTGGTTTGAGGCTGCTGGCACGGGGTCACTGATTGTGAGTTTTGGAAGAGATCCTCAGTAGCACAGCATTTACTCCGTACTGATACAGTAGTCGTGAATAACCTCAGAAACCTAGATAGTACTACGTTTGGTTAAATAAGTAGGAAGTGATGAGTTTTTAGTACTGTGTCCTTTGTTCTTAATAGAACTTTTTGTCAGCTTATATAATGTAATTGTTAGTAATGGCTCCTTTGATACCTGAAAGTGTCACCATGGGCTGACTCTCAGGAGAGCTAGCATGAGCGGGTTTCTGCCCATGCCTGGGTGGAATCACTGCCCCCTAGCTGGCTTGGATGCTGAAGGGCTCGCAGCCCCAGAAGAGGAGATGTATTGGAATATATGCAGACAGAATTCTGGCCTGGGCCTGGAGCCTTGCCCACCGGGGCCCTGGTGCCCCTTGGCCTGCTTGCAGGACTTCAGCCACAGACAGGCTCCTCGTCCAAATGGTGTCTGCACCTTTGCAGATGGCTGCTGGGATAGTTCTCATGGTCGTAGTTTCCCATTGTCCATGCCTAGCACCCCTCATTGGCTCACGAGGAGCCAGCTGCCCTAATGGGCAGGCGGGGTCATCGTGCAACTTGCTCTAGATCAGGGGTGTCCAATCTTTTGGCGTCTCTGGGCCACACTGGAAGAAGAATTGTTTTGGGCCACACATAAAACACACTAACGATAGCTGATGAGCCAAAAAAAAAAAAAAAAACTTATAATGTTTTGAGAAAGTTTACCAATTTGTGTTGGGCTACATGTGGCCTGAGAGGCGTGGGTTGGACAAGCTTGCACTGCTTCTTGCTCCAGATGTATCACTGCCCCAGTTCTCTCAGGGCTGAGGTGACCACCTCGTCTGGCCCAGCGGTTGTGAGGGAAGCCTTCGACTCATATCACACTGTTTATTCTCTTCATGGCTTTTAGTGTGGCCTATGGTCTTGTCTGTTGTCTGCCTTCCCCAACATGAATGTGAGAGCTCTGTCTGCTCCCTGAGTTCCTCCTCAGAGGGCACAAGGCACACAATATGGACACGTTCCTTTATTTATTTATTTATTTATTTATTTTAAACAAAAGGAGACAGGATCTCTGTCACCGAGGTGTGAGTGCAATGGCACGGCCATAGCTCACTATAGCCTCGGATTCCTGGGCTCAAGTGATCCTCCTACTTCAGCATCCTGAGTAGCTGGGACTACAGGTATATGCCACCACACCTGGCTAACTTTTTAATTTTTAATTTTTAAATTTTTATATTCATTTTTTTTAATTTTTTCGAAACAGTCTCACTGTGTTGCCCAGGCTGGTCTTAAACTCCTGGCTTCAAGCGATCCCCCCACCTCAGTCACCGGATTAGCTGGGATTACAGGTGCATGCCATTGTGCCTGGTCAACGTTCTTATTTTCCCAGGAGATAAATAGCAGCTGAGACCTGGTACAATGGCTCACACCTGTAATCCCGACACTTTGGGAGTCTGAGACAAGAGGGTCATTTGAGCCCAGAAGTTAAGACCAGCCTAATCAACATTGGAGACGCTGTTTGTAAAAAGGTGACTGAATGAACTCTTGTGTCTGCAGCAGTTCCATTGAGCAGCCCAGGTGGGTTTGGGTTCCCACCCAAACCTACAAAGGTTTTTCTGATGCCAGACACCAACATTGCCTCTTGGTGTGTGCCAGGCACCCTACCCTTGGGAAACAGGCAGCCCTGACTCAGCCTGCTCCCCTCCCAGATGGTGGCAGTCACTGTTGCTAACTTCATCACTAGGCCATCAAAAATCTCTCTAGGTTTCAGCATGGCTAATGCCACATTTTCTCCTTATCCCCCACTCCCCTCCAAAAAAAGGGAAACCCTCCTTCATTGTGTGTGTGTTTTTATTTTTGGGAGATGGAATCTCACTCTGTCACCCAGGCTGGAGTACAGTGGCATGATGTCAGCTCACTGCAACCTCCGCCTCCTAGGTTCAAACAATTCTCCTGCCTCAGCCTCCTGAGTAGTTGGGATTACAGGCATGCGCCACCACACCCAGCTAATTTTTGTATTTTTAGTAGACAGGGTTTCACCATGTTGGCCAGGCTGGTCTTGAACTCCCGACCTCAGGTGATCTGCATGCCTCAGCCTCCCAAAGTGGTGGGATTACAGGTGTGAGCGACTTCATCTGGCCCTATTGTCTTCAGGCTGCTCTGTGCTGGCCTCATTTACGGGGCTGTACTGTCTCCTAAGAGTCAGGAGTCACAGCAGCCTCTTCTGCTGGCCACAGGGCCTGTCTACTGACCTCACCTGCTGCCAGTGGGCCCAGGCGTGTGGATTCCAGATGACCCACTCTGGGCTTGGTAGATCTGCAGGTTGGCTGTGTCCGGCTGCCTGGTGTGGCAGTGATCTGATGCTCTACCCTTGGCAGGCCTGAGTTTGAGTGAAGAAGGAAGGGGAAAACTGGCCTGTCTGGTTGACAGATTTGCCATGCATGAATATCTGCACACTGATGCAGAACTTCGGCTTTTTGTAAACAGGAGTTCAATAAGAAGACAACTGTGAAAAACCACTTTGTGACTGGCGGGGTGCCATGCAGCCTCAGCTGGTCATTTTCAAGGATCATCCATTTACAGAATGAACACTCAAGCCTCTTCCTCCCAGAGCCATGGGGTCTGCCTGACAGTCCCCTCCTTGTCCAGCATCTCCCGCCTGCCTCCTCCTTCCCCTGTGCCTGCACCAAGCTGTCTCCCCCACCCTGTTCACCCAAGCCTCTCCTCTCTTTTTTTCTAGTGCCGCCTGGCCTGGGCAATGCAGAGCTGCTCCTGGCAGGGCACCTTGTGCCCGTCCCCTCTCCTGCTGCTCTGTGTGCAGTGGGTAGGGGGTAACCTGGCCCACACTACCTGCCCCAAGTGGATGGTGGCCCCAAGTGCTGCTGCCACTCTCTCTGTTCTATCCATTTCTCCTTTTCATGGGCTTTGTTCATTTACCTCGTCACTCATGGCCTTCAGCACTCATGTCAGTCTGAGAACCCCCTTTGGCCTCAATCAGTGTCCTGCCCACACTGGTCTCTCAAACTCAGGGCATTAAAAACCATACTTAGGGACTTTCCTCTCAGCTGGCTTTCTGACTCTGCCTCCAACAATGTAAAAATTGCCTTTAGTGAGGTCTGATTTACATACAGTACAATGCATCTATTTCAGGTGTACATTTGGCAGTGGAAGTCCCTCATTTATCACTGATGTCTGCCTTGCTTTCACAATTGTCTTTTTATTGAGTTCTATGCTGCATTTTGACAAATTCATGTACCCGTGTAACTACCCCAGTTGAGGTGTAGAATATTTCTGTCACTTAAAAAGTCCTCCCTCCCCCCACTGAGGGGCTACCATCAGTCCCCAGTTCACCCCACCATTGGGACCACACTGGCACTGCTGTTGGGTGCCTTCAAGTACTGCATGTTGGTGTTGATTTTCTCACTTGTGATGGGAGATGGGATAATAGCACTCATATGGGCAGATGAGGCTCACAGAGGCTTGGGACAGACACATATTTTTGTGATCCCCAACCTAGCTGTGTAGACATGTATCACCTTGGGCAGGCACCCAATTTCTCTGAGTATCCGCATCTGTAAAGTGCCCCTCCGTCCACCCCAGTCCAGCTCTAGGACTCTGTGGGCCTGTGTCTTTATAGTGGTGGCACTGACTGTGGCTCCCAGGGTTAGAGGTGGCACAATCGCTGTGAGTCACTCCCTGCCCCTTTAGCTAGGGTGACTGTGCATCTTATCCAGACCAGGACACTTTCAGATGTATGAGGCGGTATTAAAAATACAGTAACAGGTGTCACCTAGCAAACCTGGCCTAGGGTTGCCTTCTGCAGCCCAGTGTCTCTGAGGTCCTTGTGTACGGTCCTTAGAACCAGCCTTCTCCATGCAGAATGGAATCTGGGTGGCTCATGGTCTTCAAAGTGCCCAGGGACCCAGCCTCAGCCAGCCTGCGCATCCAGTCATAGCCCTGCACTCCTAGGCATTCCTGAGCTTAATCCTTCACCCTAATATGTTACTTTTCTCTTTGTTCTCACTGACTTTTCAGTACACAAGCAATAAATACATCTTCCTTTAAAAATTAAAATGTCTGAGTTACAGCGAAAGGCCCCTTTTGACCTCTGTCCCTGATGCAGTTCTTCTGTCCCCCTGGAGAGGACCCGTGTCACTAATGTAGTGTCCATTCTCCTGCGCTGTGCAGGCACGACCCAGAGCACTGGGCCATACTGTGCATGTGGCTTTTCAGTCAGTTCTGGCACACAG